CAATTAGCTCGCATTTAAATGGTTTCCAGAGAGGAGAGGCTAGGCTAATAACAGTCCAATGAAGTGACAACCAACCAATTAATCTCACTCTAATTGCTCAGTAGGTACCGTCAATCAGTCATAATCTCCCCCTCTCTCTCTCTGCTTTGTTTCTTGCTTTTAGCACACATTCCACCACTCAGTGGCCTGATTTACCAACTGTCAATCAATCAAATATAAACTCGCCCTTCCGCCCCCTCTGGAGATGGTGGTGCATTACAGTGTGTTGACATCACGGCCATGCTGCGAGTCAGCACATTTGGCTTCTAACATAACAGTGAGAAATACTGTGTTGACAAGAACAATCACTTGGAGAGAGGAAACTATAAGACAGAAAGTAGAGAAAAAATGAAAGAATGAGACACAAACCCATATTTCAAGGAATGGGGTGAGTATTACTTTTGGACAAACAGTGACCCATAATCAAAAACGCATATCCATTTAAGAGCTTAATGCTTGCAGCATAGATCAATTAACACAAACATAAATTCACTGAAACAGTCTGTATGCAGCAGACTGATGATCGATTGCTGGATCACTGTGTCACATCTTACAGCCTGTCTTTGAACTAACAGTCTCATAAGCTCAAATGTTTTCCTTAGAGATTTACTCTAAGTACTATTTTTAGAATGTGTCTGGAACGCTACGGTCTTTACACTCACTTAGAATGGCCTCTACTATTAATACTGTTGTAGCTTTTCAACGAGGGCTGAGGTTTTTAGAGACTCGATAAAACAAATTCATCCAACAATGAATGTCTTCTATGATTATTTTTCCATTTCCTCACGTTGAAAGGAGCTGTTGTTGTCGTTAGCTGAAGCCTATCGAGGGCCAGATGTATGCCGTGATGCATTAGGCCGAGTCTGTCGACGAATCAGAGAGTGTGTTGCTGAATGGGCAACAGTGCATAACAGTACTGATCTCAAGAGTACATGCACAATGGAATATCATGATATTCACCACATTCTAGTTTAAGCAGATCAGTGCTGTTTGGGCAGCAACCAAAGTAATGAGCAGAATATCACGAGTGTAATAAATAATGTAGATTATTATGGGCGCACTTGGATAGTATTGAAAGGCGTGCGCCCAGGGTGCACTGAGCAATCCATTGATATATTGCTGTTATTCCGTGTTTATACCTTTTATTATAATAGGAGACTATTCCCTCTGAAGTATGCTCAACCGACAGCCGGGCCTGTGTCAAGGCACCCCGCCAGGGGCTCCCTCACATCTCTGAAAACTATCGCAGCAAATTTCCAAACAGACGTTTTTTTGGGATAAACTTACCACATATCGGTAATCTAAAAGGTAACTTTTTCGCATGGAAACATTTAAAAGCTTGTAGCCGAGCTCAAAATCGTTCTCAAGGCACCCAGACGCAATGCATTGTTGGGCAGCTGAGTGTGTTCAGTAGGCTCACGTTTCACATGGAGAAATTCCTGCTAATGTATACATCCTGGCATTTCTTGAGAACACAAAATCCCCAAACTATACAGCGTGAATGCACTACATACTTAAATTTACGTAAGACTTAGTTTGAATGTTAATATGCAAGATAATAGAAATCACCAATGAAGTGGTTCCTTTAATGCTCACTTCCTGAAATCTTCCTGAAAAATTCCCATCATTGACTGATGTGTCAGGCACAGGCACGCCAGGCTATAAACTTACAATTACAACTGCATATATCACCACTGACACCTTTACATTATTCATTCCTAAGGTTATTAACATCAGTGTGCGTATGGTTCTGTGTGTGTCATTTACTGAAAGACAGAACTCACTTACCTGAGCCAATGCATATACTGTGCTGCATGTATCATATAGTTACTCTATATATGAAGTTTTCAACACATTTGTAGACTTTAAAGCTTTGCTCACCACATACATCTATTAGCTGAAGACTCATAATCTCCAATAGTTACAGGAATTCCAATGAATATCTTTATTTAGTCATTTGACAATGTGTTTTGAGTTGGACATTCAGTTTGACGTGGTCTCACACACACCACAGAATTCTGTTCTACAGTACGAGCTAGAAACGCATTCAAATTCACCAAAAATGTCAGCTCTTACTAAAAATAGAGATTTCTGCACCAATATCACTACATATCTTATTCCACTTTTCTCAAGATATGCTGATAGAAAACATGCTTCATCATTGTTACGAAGCTAAGATTCACTTGATACCTTCCATTTATGTTCATCTCTTTATCCAAAACAACTAAAATGAAAAATAGTATTTAATTTTGGTTAGATACTAGGATTTACCTCGATGGACATTATGAAGTTTTAGCTACAACCATATTGTATGAAGTATACAACAGAGTGGAAGAGGAGATATGAGACACGTATTCTCAAACATTAGTTGAAATCCACAGCATCATGAGTGTATGTTATGTGCCTTGTGTGGCACCATCACACGGCATGATGTGAAATATTGTTTTCCCTCACTGATGTTTAATTGTTCCTCGACCGATCTGCTCGTTCCCTTTTTCATTCTGGTTCCCACCACTAATTAGGAATGGGATTTAACGGCCTATGACTTTAGTGCAGGATCAGAACACGCCCAGCCATTATAAAAAGCCCAGGGACCCATAATGTGGTGTGGGCTTGGCGGCTAAAACCATCGGGTGGAGAGACAGGAGGGGAGGGGAGAGCTGGTAACAGTTTCTCTTGGTAGCTCTTTGAATTGTTGGTTGTGTCCTTTCTCGCCTTTGGCCTGTCATGAGAGGTTTCTCTCCCCCCGTTTTGAAATGGTTTTCTGTTTGTGTCCTCTGCTCTCCGGCTCTTGTTCGCAATGTCTCTCTGTTTCTCTCTGTTCCACCAGTCTCACCTCGCTCTCTACCCTCCATCCCCTCTCTCACACTCTCTCTCTCTCTCTCTCTCTCTCTCTCTCTCTCTCTGCCTGCCTCCCTTCCTCACACACTCTCTCGCCACAGTAAGACCTAATATGAACTTTTGACAGGAGCTGGGATCTTTGTTTAATTGCCAGTGTTACTGCAAATGCCCTCATAAATCTATGCTGTAATGCCTTTGAAACGCCTTCTAGGCCTTGCAATCTCTCTCTCTCTCTCTCTCTCTCTCTCTCTCTCTCTCTCTCTCTCTCACACACACACACACACACAATCTCTTTCTCACTTTCTCCCACTTTCTCCCACTTTCCTTCATGCACACCCAAGCGCACACACAATCGCACACACAGATATGATGTGTGAGAATGAGGGCTTTGAGGTTGTTTGTGCACAGATCAGACACAACAGCTCCAATGTTTGTTTGCAATTTCCACAGGCTCTGGTCCAGTCCACCAAACACATGGGAATTTTAGGATCAGCATCTTCTCAAAAAGCTGCTGGGAATATAACTGAGCAAAGAAAGAGTGCAATGAGGTTCTTATTTTTCTGTGTTTTTGTATGATGTAATCTGTATAGACTAGTTTTTAGTGGAGGGTGAAAGGGGGAGAAAGAAGAGCAAGACAAGTGGTGATATAATATAGGAGAGTCTAAATAACCAGATCAATCTGGTTAAGAATTCACCTCTAATGTATTACATTCTGTTAATGTTACCTGGATGGGTCTTTTGTAAACTTGTATGTATTCCTGCAACTTTATATTGCTGTTTGCTTAAATTCTTCTTTCAGCTTTAATACTTCATCCTTAAAATTACCTTTTAATATCAGTTACTCACTGCGTGTTCCTTTGAATTCCTGAAGAAAACTCTCCCATGCCTCCATAGTGAACATAAAGTCCAAAAACTGAGTAAATCCTTTATACATTGAAGTAAACGGAGGCCAAGTTTAACGACAGTAAAACTATTTCACTATCTTGTTTATCCAGCCGCATGCTCAGTACTTCCAAACGCGCATTTTTGCCCAAAAAATATATACATTTAAATCACTTCCTTTTATGCGCGCACGGATCCGCAGCACGCATGTGCAAACTTGGACGGTAGTGGCGGAAGAGTCTTAAATAGGCGAGTAAGACTTTGGATAAAATGCATGTGTTTGAGAAGTGCTGAGCATACGGCTGGATAAAAGAGACTTGGATTATACTGCACAAGTTGTGTGAAGTAAATAATATATCATAAGAAGGCAGTACTGCAGAAGGTTTGATAAAGTATGTCTCTTAATTAACTTGCCATGCATTTAATCAACCTAAATACTAAAAATAAAACTTGAACACTCAAACATGGTGAGCTATAGTTATGTATAATTGCTGTTACATGTGTAATATGTTTGCTGTTGGGATTTTGCACTCTGTATCAGTTCACCTCCCATGATAGTATTCAGAATATTGCCTGCGGTGTTATTTGTAATCACCATATGAAGCTACAGCACATAAATACCTTGTCAGAGGAGTCAGACATGGGATTTCATTACTCACGTAGTTGTTTTAGTTTTTGTGGTGTGCAATGTCCCGGGCAGCATGAAGTCAAAACTGAAGGCCTGTCCACCTTTACACCCATACCAGAAAGTGAAGCTCACTGATATACTTACTGTAATGTGGTCAAAGAAACATTTTGGTCTTTGGTGACAACAGGTGGACTTTTTAATGTCAATGTTGTCACTCAGTCTGCTCATACACAAGCACAAGCACCAGCAAAGTAAGAAGCACCAACATATGCAATAGTGTTTGGCCTAAAATGAAACATTACTGGTGCCAGGGCTTTTAAATTGATGAATAAACAAACATACAACATGCTGTAAAGGCACTGAGCTTATGGTCATCATAGGCCAGAAACACTGTGGATCATTGTAGTGGGCTTTATAGCAGACATATACACAAACCTTTAAGAAGACTAATACAGTTCAAGCATTATGTCAAAAGCTTACAATCAATTTCAAGGGAATATAAATGAACTCATGTACAGGTTTAGTTGCCATTCTTAACCTGGAAGCAAAAATCTGAAGCTGTGCATGAAACCAGAGAATAACACATGTAAACACAGTTATTGTTTTTCAGGTGTGGCAGAGAGAGTCAGAGGGGAACACCACTGGGTCTAGACAGGACTATTAACCGGGTAAGTGTTACAATCTCTGTCTGTTGTCTATTACACTATACAATGCCTGTTTGTCTTTGCACATCTCTCCATTTACATCTCTCTTCCTTTCTCTCTGCAGACCTGATTTTTTTTTTTCTCTTATTGTCTTTGTCTCCATCTCTCTCTCCCTCTGTGCCCCTACAGTTGATTACATGAATTATTTACAGCACGTAAATCCTCAGCAGCTGCTCTCTGTTTGCTTTTTTGCCCTCCTTGTTCCTCTCTATTTTCTCTTTCAGGGTTAACACGGTAGGATTTTTCTCAACTTTGTCACCTCTCCTTCCCTCTCTGTGCCTGGGGTTAATCTCTCTCTCTCTCTCTCTCTCTCTCTCTCTCTCTCTCTCTCTAATTACACAGCCCTTAGTTGCAGCCTTGTAATTTCCCATGGCTTTGCTTGTGACTGGCTGAATTCCGTTTTTTTATTCTGTCATAATGGGAATTTTAACCGACAAGTTCACAGTTATTTGTTTGTTTGTGTATGTGTCTTTCACTGTGTATCTGTATGTGTAGATGGGTGGTACACACATATAATATCCTTACAATCAAGACTTGCATGTGGGCTCAAAATAAAAAAGTAAAAAAAGTTTTAGAAAGTTTCAGAAACGGTGCCATATATACAACAGAGAAGATATTTTCTTTCACTCCAGGCTTCAAATGCTTTAATAAGGATTCCAAACTAGGCTGTCAAATTACTCCCCCCCCACACACTTTCTTCTTTGGTCCCTTCAATCAAATCCCTAGGTTTGACTCCAAGCATATTTTTTCATGTACATGTGAAGTAATTTCATGTTGAAAAGAAGAAAAAAATTAGTGGTTCCACACAAGAAAATCTATCAAAAAATAGCACAAGCCTAATTCAAAACAAAAAAAAGAGACAACGAAAGGGAAGCATTACCTTTGGCTCTGTTAAATAATTTATTTTTCCCCATTCACATTCCATTGTTCGAAGCCAGAGCCGATCTGTCCAATATTACTGCTAATCTAATTTCAAAGGGTTGCAGTCATGTTAAAGCACTTTTTAATTGTGATAAGGAATATGCTTTCATGCTTAAACCCTTCTCGTCAGTTCGTCTGGACAGAACCCATAAATATTGAGGCCTTTTTTTCATTGGCAATTAAAATTAGAATTGGTCACATTTTTCACTGTCAGCCATTTCCTTTGCACACAAAGACATGTGTGCCCCCCCTGCACGCCCACGCACACACACACATGCATTTAGACACATGCAGAACCAGACATTGCCATATAAGTGCACGCAGAAGCACATACAAAGTGTATAAATAGTGAGGTTTTTTTGCCAAAGTTAATAACACTTAACACAAAAACCTTGCTTGATTTCCTTGGACATTAAAACCTCTGCAAAACTGAAAGTGCTCAAAGGCTTTTCTAGCTTTGCAACTCTGGCAGGGCTGATGATTCACCACAGGCTTCCCTGTTGTTCCTATGACACATGAGATGTAGGCTGTCCCCGTATTGTCCAGAGATAACACAGTGAGATGATTCTTGAGTGAATCACTTGCACTGTAGTGCTTTTGACACGGAACATTCTTGAAGTTTTGAAATGTACAGTACCCAACGTTCTGAGGCAGTGGAGCAGAAAGATGTAATTCTTGTTGTGACAATAGTAGTTTGGATAGCATGTACATTGTACAGAGCAAGAGCGGCGTGAAGGTGTACAATTGGTTGCAGCTATCGGGTAAATATCCCTATCTATTTTGCCTCAAAACAATTCTCCTCTGTTTTGGGCCTTTGCGAATGGGCACATCTCAATATTGTTTCCACAAATAAGAGGAATACAAAAGAGAAGAACAAAAAGAAGAAGAGTAACTGTGTTCTCTGCCACATCCACAGTCACATGGGGAAATTGTGCGTCCAGCGCGTCTACAATAGATCCGGAATGTGTTAGCCTGGCAAAAGGAAATATAAGCCTAGCTCTTTTAAAAGCAAAAAAATACACCTTCTTATGTAAAATGTATCCAAGGGACATTGAGTTCAATGTGAATAGAGTCTGAGTCTGGAGCATTAACTAATACTAACCGACGCATGCATAACTAGCAGTCTTATTCGATTATGTGCATATTGACTTATCTTCACACTGCGGTTATGGTACGACAGACATGTTTGACAACCCCATTAGGACCATCATTTTACTTTATGTTATGGTTCATATGTTGCCACTTATACATTAATTAGCATGTCATAAGTGACTTAAGGCTAAGAAGTTGGTGAGGGGACCCCCCTTGTAGAGGCCCATCAATTCAACAGAGAAAAACTCTTTCAGTGACATGCAGCATTACTAACGCTGCAGTCAGACTGACAGCTCTAGCTTCACTGCAGTAGCTCTCACACTTTACCGTAGCACAACTTCGCACTGCAGTCAGTCAGGGTTTTAGACATACTGCAAATTGTTCAAACTGAGTTTCCCCACTGACAACACATGGAGCGAGATTTGTTTCTAAGTTTGGAGAATAAACTATTAGTGACGGTGAAGGAACAGAAGAAGCTTGACTTCGGTTCGTTCCCCCTCACCTCAGCTCACTACAGCGTGCCTTTACCACTGCAGTCAGTCTGGGTATTGAGTTTTGGCTGACATTGCTGGGTTGGCTCACTGCTTGTTTAGCAGTCTGAGCCAAGCATGTGCGGCTGTCTGAGTGAGTGTGTGTTTATGTGCATGCATGTCTGTGCTTGTGTTTCTGCAGGATACGTGTGGATGTGTGTATACGACTGACTGTGTGCACGTCCCTATGTGCTTGCATGTGCCTCGTGCAGTGAGAAAGGTCTGTAAACCTTGATGGGGTGGGTTTCTTTGGGGAGAGGGGGTGGGGGGTGGGGTGGGACTTGTTGTGCAATGTGGCCTCATTACCCAGGTGTTTACCCCCAAACACAGGAAGCGCTTGTCAATGATGACTGTCTGCCGGCAAACATCGCCTGAGGGAAAGATATAGGGAGGAAGAGAGAGAGAGAGGGAGACAGAGGGAGGTTGAATCATAGAAACAAGGCTTTGTATCCATCTATCCATCTATCCATCTATCTATCTATATCACATCCATGGGTGCATGCTTCTGTGTGTGTTTCTTCTTTCCAAATGTGTGTCTGTGCCAGTCAAACTCACACTGGCAGGTCATTGGGTTCCTCCACTCCACTCACCAGTGGAGGGAGGGGGGGAGAGAGAGAGAGAGAGAGAGAGAGAGAGAGAGAGAGAGAGGAGACATACAAGCTGTTGACGGGGATTTATGAGCTGATAGTGTCAGACTGCAAGCACAACAACAGTCTCCCTGTCTCTGCCTGTCTGCTCATAGAGAGAGAGAAACAGAGACTGACAGAAAAATGGAAGGGGGAGGAGGGGTGAAGAGAAAGTGAGGCAGCAAAATTAGTTGAAACAGAAAGAGCAGATAGAGGGAGGGAAAAAATAACATAGAGGAAGACAGGGAAAGAGGATTGGGATTAAATTTGTGTAGGGTTATCTCTTCTTTCTCCCATCACAATGCATATTTTTTTTTCTTCACAGACCTTTTCCTTCCCTCTTCACTTCAACATCATAGCAGCATGAGCTGACTTGTTGTTGATTGGTGACTGCTTTTATTTTTGCTTGTTTACACTCATGCAGGTCAGAAACCACGTGTTCACGTTTTAAATATAAACCAAAGGCTATTGTTGGTCTCGCGTGACCACAGAGATGATGACGAGGACTGTACTGAGATGACCGTGCACACATATTCTGGACAATAATATATCCTCCACCATATTGTTGTGTCACATTTTTGACAAAAGCTGAGGATTTCACATTTGATAAGATAAGACTATTATAATGAAGTGTGGACAATTGTTCATTTTTAACTACTGTGCAAGAATAAACATTACAGAAGGCAATTGTCCTCGTGTCTGCGTGTGTTTATACGCGAGTGTTCCGATTTGCCATGGCGAGTCAGGGGTGTTCACTGAAAGATGACACACTGATATAGTTGGACTGTCTGACTGTCTAATGTATACGAGAGGCACAGTCTGGCGGGAACTTTGTCTAATTTTCTGTTCGGAGTATAAATCTATTTGATGACTTCTACAATATATCCTCTTTGGGTTCCTTCTCAGCTGAGGCTTTCGTTTTCATATGGCAGTGTTTTCCTCACCAGACTAATCGAGTTTGCTGTTACCAGGAAATGCACCCTTTATGAGTTCCATTCTTTTACATAAAGTCACTTTGCTTACACAGACATTGAGACATGTGTCAAGGACTTAAATCTGTATTCATATGCTGTATCTGCAAGTTATTGATCAGTTGTATTTAGTTCTACTTAAAGTTTACATGGAATTCATAAGTGAGACCCAAATGCATAACCCAATGTTGTCAGTTGTTCCCTTGTATATTCTCAGGTCTAAAATCAAACTGTACATATAGACATCCTGCGTCTCTGTGAAGACACTGGCTTTCAATTTTGGATGTTTAAAATACCATACCCTGTTAAATGTTATGATTTTCATAATAACAGTGATCCAGAAATTAAGTCTGCCAGACTGACATGTTGGGAGACAGACAGCCTGACAGTGCAAAGTGTGCATACCCCCTAGGGATAATATAGACTTTGTAGTGATTTACATGTCAGATCCTGTTTAATGATATAGTATTAAAGAGTGGTGATTTATGAGGCCATTTTCATTTTGCCCAGAGACTCATATTCAGACTCACGGTTTAGCTTACACTCTGCAACATGCTGAGTAATGATCCCATGTTGACTTCCCCAGAAAAGCAAACGTCATCTTACAGAAGTCCTCTCTATAGAAAATGGCCTTTAGTCGCAAGTGCAATACATGTGCACTAATTGTTATTTGTACAGTAAAGGCAACATGTGCGACCCTCAGATGACCATAAGCTGCAGATCCCATTAAGGCAAAGTTGGTCCTCTGATTAAGGCTTTCAGTCCAAGAGCAACAGTGCAGGGGGCTAAGGATAGCAGGTAGTAGGGTTGTTCACACGCGGTGTAAAGAGCAACATAACATCTAGGGACCGCTAGATTATCTTACAATTACTTAGAATTTTTTTTTCTAGAGTTTTAAGGTCTACTGTAATTAAACCATCATTGTCTTGGGTTGTATTCAAGGCGTCTACATTCTTACATATTCTAATTCTGACAGTGAGTGAAAGATAACATTAGTGAGAATTTGGGCAGTGAAATTTACAATGAAAGAGTAAATATATATATTAAATCTACAAATGATCTTGGTGATCATTATGGAGACTGTCACATTGGAGCTGATTGTGTGCAATAACATATATCATCACAGGCGCCCCCCCAACACAACAGGGAAATGAAAAGAAATGTTTTAAAATTCAATTCATTGTGTTCATATTTACGGGCATTCATCTTTCTATATGTCTGCTCTTTGTGTGCGTGTGTGTGTGTGTGTGTGTGTGTGTAATGCAGATCTTCAATGAAACCTGTGTGGAAATAGAGAAGAAAATGAAGATAAAGAGGAAAACTGCTTGATGGAGTCAACAGTTAATTATGCATATCAATCACATATACGATATGTTCGTCATCTCTGTTGTCATATACTTTAACTCCTTCGTTTCCCAAGTGTTACTTTTCACAGGATATCACCGACTGTAAATAAGTGAGAAAATCATTATGCATTGATGTTATTTGGTGTGTGCTATATGATGTGAATCACAACAACTCTTGCTGCAAAGTTTTGTTAATGTTTCTCAAGACAATGAGCTTATATAGAGCTCTATAAAAATTTACAAATGAATTCATTGCAAATTCAGGACCACCATGAGCGTTACTGCGCTGTACGTGTGTGTGATGTATTTGGAAATGACTATTCTTGTTTATGTTCACTGATACATGAGAAAGTGCTGTTTATTTGTCCACATTGTTGTTCCGCAATAGTGCCTCCTCTTTACGGTACATAGCTTTTTCCTAATGCTTCTCATGTACTGTATGTACATTTGAGAGAACATGTGATCAGAACAATGTATAAGGATTGACAGTGTTAGGCAGCTTCGACAACCCTACTGTCTGGTACAACAACATATTCATGTATGTGCATTGTATTGGTTAAGAAGTAATTATCCCAATGTGGTCACGGGGGGAACGAAGACAACATTAACAACATGTACTCATACAATATGTAAAGCTCTGTGTAGAAATATTCCCAGAATGTAGAGCTCTAATGGGACAATATATGTACAGCATTCCACTTTTATCATCCCACCATAGATTATTAATGAATGTATTGTTCTGCGACAAATCTAGGTAATATAAGGTTGAATAAAGAATTTTTAATGGTGTCTCAACAGACTCGTAAAAACATGGGACTACACTTGTCATATGAGAATCTAGCAGTGTAGGAATGATGCACTGTATAAAGTACCTTTTATATGTGACGTCTTCCACATCTGTGTTTTAAAACCCTGTAAGTATTTAGGAGTTGAGTGGCTTGCTGCAGGGTGCTGTTGTAATGTCACTAGAGACTTAAGATGCAAAGTGAGCAATGTGTCATAAATACACTAAAAGCCTTCTTAAGCCTTGTTTTATAATATGTTTGTGGTTCACTTACTGCATGTCCTTTATTTTTGCACGTCCAGTTTGACCGGTAATGATAGAAACAGAACTGTTGCACGGGCTGTGCAAAGTGTGTGACCGCACACGGTCTCCGTGTATATGTACTTATATATATATATATATGGGATTACATGCATATAAAAAGCATATAAACATTGAACAAAAAGTTCAGAAATTAGTGTTTGGTCGATTATTTCTCTGTTGTAACAATGCTTCTTGGCAATAAATGTTATACCGTTGGAAAGCCTGTTTATTTACCTTTACGGTGCCCCATTTGTAAGGATCATGCATTTCTGGGATGAGCAGCACAGCTGAGTATGTGGGTTGCGCCCATGAAAAATTTGCCAAATCTTCTCTGCCAATGCCAAACAGCTTATTCTGCAGTCAAAGTCTCAAAGTCAATTTCACACTGCATAGTCAAGACAGAGCATAAAAATTGTTTTAAATTATGAACGATTCTCTCTCGTTTCCCCTGTCTGTGGATTGGTACAATGGGGGGGAAGAATGGGCTGAAGGCCAAAAGTTCTATTAACAACCACTACAAGCAAACTAAGTGACGTGTACTGTTTGTCTGTCTGTTTCTTGTTCTCCTCCACTCAGTTTCAGTGATACGGACATAGCTGTGCGAGTGTCGGTGCGTCTTTACCCACACACAATGCTGTCCATCGTTCCAAAACAACAGTCACATGTATTGGGCAAATAATGTAGCTTTTTTTGTTGTTTATGTTTCTATAGACACATCAAGTCCAAAGGTGCTAAATTTAATAATTCAGGGGGGAACAGGAGGGTGGGCCTCAGCCCCCTTGTGGCGCCAAGCAAGAGTGCATACAGTAGAACTAGAATAACTACAGTATGTGAACCTGACTGTGATTCATGCCCATACTTTGCAATAAGCAGGGCCTCACACCCCCCATGCGACGACCATGGATGGAAACCAACTTCTATCTGCCTCCCTCGATCTTTGTCTGTGGTTACTAACCCCAGCTTCAGTGGTCAGATCTGGGCCCCAGCTGTCCATGGAGAGTTTATCACACTTCCTTTCCCTCTGCTCTGGGCCCCCAGTCAGTCTACCAGACAGGAATATCAAAGACTTTGGGACATACCATTACAGTGTAAATGGTATATTGCACTGTACAGCATGCTGATGATATATAACATTAATGTCTCACTAGTAAACACAAAACAGGAAGGAGGTCTGAGCTGAGCTTTTCTTTAACAACCCTCACAAGTGAACATAAATGTCTGAAGCACACATTGGATTGATTGAGAGTTAGTCAGAATGAGCCGATATTCGATGGTATGGAATTGAATCGTAGGTAAAATGGTTTTACTTGAATGTTTGTGAATGTTATTCACCAGGAACTGCATGGGGTTGCATTTTTATTAAATAAGGCGTTTAATAAATCATTCATGATTCAGTTCATTTCACTGTCATTATATGGTATGGATCTAAATGCCAGGCAAAGGGATTTTATTATTTTCTAGGGCAGTTTGTCATACTTTCTGTCAGTCTGGCGCGCAGTCATACCGTCAAACATTGAGACATTCATGAACAGATTTCCTAAGAGAGAAAAGAGCATAAAACCTGCTCTGTCCAACATCTGGCCTTATTCCTGCGAACTGCTATCTGCATCATGAATTGTGTTTAAAAGGTGGAATCAGCTTTAAGAAAAAAATAGGAACAGCATTTTTTGTGGATGAGTAGAGTAGACATGGTTGATACATTTGGAGGTGTAATGTGAACACGGCCCTTGTTTCAACATGTGAGGTATAAACACTCAGTTCAAAACATATGCGTGGCATACAGTATGACACATTAACTTTAAGTAGGGCAAACATAAGTTATGGAATAGTCTACTAATGCAATATGTTTCCCACAACTTTTTGTCATCTGTTTTAAATACGAATTCTATTATTAAACTTGTTATAAGTGATTTTTCTTTTTCAAAATTCCACGAAAAACATTCCCACCAGTAGTGCGTTCCTTACATTTTTGAACATCATCTGCTCTTTACCATTAATTTTCTCCCTGCTTTTTTCACTTAAGCTACAACAATAAGCTGATTTCACACAGGCTGAACGGGGCTTCTTAAGCCATTAGACAGTGCAAGCAAAAAAAGGCTTGAGGGTTTCAATTTTTTACTTTCTGGAGACATCAATTTTAACACTCTACAAATACCTTACCTCAAAATGCACTTTTTGTCACGTTTCAAACAGTCTGCACCACCAGTTGTCCTCCTGTGAGGCATACAGTAAAATGCTTGTTTGCAAAGTTAAATAAAAAGCAATGTTACGTGCTCTTCTTTTGATCAACTCGGGCTCAGACAGATACATACTGTGTAAGGGGGAAGCAATAATGAAAAATTACAGGTTTTATTGGACAATTAAGGAAGACTTATGATTATCATAGCTGCATAGTGCTTTATGACACCTGTAATCAACTGGCTTAATTGGACATTAAGCCGTGAAATGCCACCATACACATGCTATCTTCCACTTGTTAGCGCCCGTGACAGCAATGGCTCCTATTTTGTTTTCCCTCCTACCGCATGTACCTCAGCCAGGATGTGTATGAGCCTGCCAGCCGTTAACCCCACAGAGGAAGTGTGCAGGAAATGAGATCAGCCTTAAAGAAAGGTCACGCCTGAGCCACTGACACCAGACCAATAACTGTCACTCACTGCACCTGATACTGAGATACTGAAAACACAGCGAATAACAGGAAGGTCAGAATAGACAAATGTGATACAGCAGGGTTGGAATGGATTATACAAATAAGGGAAAAAAGCTTAAGCAACTTAAAATAGACAACACAAAGAAATCAAACACAGCACATCAGAACAGAGAAAAGTAACACAAGAAAGCAGGAAATTTACCACAATTTTCACCATCAGGCTGTCTCAAAGATCTGTTGGAAAAACTTCTGTCAGAGGAGTTAAAAATATCTGTAAAGGGGTAGAGGTTGAATTCTAGCACTGTATGTAACTGCAACAGCATGTGGTACACATTTCCCTTTGTGCTGCAATAGAATAGAATAGAGTAGAAATTGACAAAAACAAACAATCTACACTAAAGCATTGCAGACAAGACCAGACTATAAAAAAAACAACCTAGTACTGTGCAGAAGAAAGAACGTTCAGTACAATGTAAAATGGGAGTAAGGACGACAAAGTAACTATCAGACAAATTCAGTTTGAACATTTTTTTTTTCTTTTTTCGCTAGCTAAAAATACCAGCAGGGTTGGGCCTAATTCACTGGTTGTGTATGTGAAAATGTCACTGTGCCCTGCACACATTCTTTTTACGATGATGAAAGACACTCTGAACTTCATCGAAGAAACGAGGTCTGACAGGCCTGCAGTGTGCATGGATGTTGTGCATATGTAGTGTATCTCAGCATGCACACAAGCAGCTGAATTTCTGATTTTTCTAAGATTGAAAAAGAAAACACGTTTTTTCTTTTCTTTTGTACTTATTGAGACAGGAGCCAGAAAAGAATGATGAAACATTTACAGTGCCAGCTATCACCTATACCCAAGAACAAGAGCCGTTTGATAAAATACATAGACACAACACTTGTTTTGAGGCACAATACAGGACTTCGGTAGGCAGAAAACTTGCTTGTTATTTTGGGTTTATGTTTTATTTGATATAACTGATTTGTGTTAAACTCCTGAATACATTTCAAAGACCTCAGAACAGATGGATTGAGAAGTCCACTGACACCGCTCCACCAAGAAATGATATCCTGAATATTGCATTTGTCAATCACAACTTCATTTATTTGCCTGCCTTGGATCTCCTGTTCCTGTCTCATGATCTGGCTGCCTGACATGTTAATGACACAGGAATACAACTTTGTTAAGCTGTTGTTATGTTGCGATGCTTTTACACACCTGAATAATGGATGACAGGAGTGAAATGTGTGCATAGTAGTTGCAAAATATAATACAGTCTATTTTACACTTGTGGGTGTTAAATAAATGTTTCTCTCTGTCTGCAGATCTGACTCTTTGACAACAGAAAACAGGGGGACAGACAATCTTACCTGATCACAGGGCATAAGACCAAATGGCCAAGGGGACATATGAAGATATATTTTGTCATGACTGTGAACTGTTGACTTAGTTTTCCCCAAAAATATAATTAATGTATGATGGTGTTAAAGTCTTTGTATCACATTATATGACTCACTGAATGACTGATGAAACGGGCAAATGTATGAACAAATGCATAAATAACTAATGAAATGATTAATCCTTTAATTTGTTAAACAAACCAGGTGCGTGACAGAGACTGACAATGGTTCAAAGTCTCATCACCATAGTTGCATAATCAGAAAATGTTTTCTGACAAATTGAACCACATAACTAGATGTATTGTCAGGGATAACATAATTACATCTTGCATTCTTTATGAAAATTATATTTTGAAATATGTACTGTATATTTAATACATATTTCATAAATATTTATTTGAGATGGAAGATACTTTTTAGGAGGAATCTATACAAATCTATCGTTTGTATATGTGTTGCTGGTACTTTTGCATAACAAAGGATGTTATGGGCTAAATTCAAAAATCAGAGCACATTTAATGCCTCCAATGGTGAAGGCTGAGCCGGCGGCTCGCAGCTAACGTTGCTAACAGAGCTAACTGTGCAAATAATGGCAACAGTGCTGACACAGCTAACAGTGTTACCTGAGGGGAAACAGGTTACATTTCCTCAAGGATGCCGTCAGTCGAGACAACATTATCAGCTGTAACAGTGCTCTACACTGTGAGCGCAGTGTAGAGCAGGGGCCCTGGGCTAGCCAGTGGGGCATATTTACATGCACTAACATGGTAAATGGTAAATGGACTTGTACTTTATAGTGCTTTTCTAGTCTTCCGACTACTCAAAGCGCTTTAACACTACATGTCATCACTAGATGCACTAAAAGACACATGCGGCTACACAGAGAAGCCCGGATTACAACAACACACAGAGGGAGAGTGTCTTCATTCTCTGCTCAGGTAGACATTACTCCACTATATCTTAAAATAATAAATAGTTGTTTGCTGCTGTATTAATGCTGAATATCGTAAAGAGAACCGTTAAAGAGTATTTCGTTAATATTTCATTTCAAAAAAGTCCTGAAGGAACAAATTTGTGTAACAAAAAAATCGAACACAAA